TGGGTTTGGGCAATTATTTATAAATTTTGGAAAAGGGAAGGTACCCAGGGATTGCAGAGAGCATGCATAGTTTCCTTTTTATAAAGGGAAAGGGGGTAAAAGAGGGCAAAAATTATAGGGGGGTAATCGGATGACCTGGAAATGTATGGAAGAAAGAAAGAATTAAGAGTAAACGGAGAATAGGGTAGCAATGAACAAGGACTTTAGGAAAGGGAGGGGGGGGTTTTGGGCCGGGGTTTTTAAATGAAACAAAAAGTGAACATATTTAAATAAGGGGGGCTTTGGGCATTTATGGGTTTGGAAAAGCTAGCAGGTGGATAGGGGGGAATGTGGCAGATGTTGCAAGTGTATGGGGAGGAGGTAGGTTAAATGAAAGCGTGAAATTTTTACGAGGATAGTGACTCAAGTTAAGTATTAGGAAAGAGGGGAAAATTTTTTTTAGTAAAAGTAGGGCCTTTGACAAGATGTGATGTCACCGTGGTTTTTAATATATTTATAGATGGGGTTGTAAAGGGAAATAAATGCGAGGGCTTGGCAAGGGGCGGGGGTTTAAAAAAAAAATCACACACAAAGTGGGGGTTTTCAAGCTCTCTTTCTGAGACACTTTCTCTTGGGGGAATTCTAAGAGAAATTTCAGAGATTGGGGGATAAAATTTGGAGGGTTGCAAAAAAAAAATTAAAGGGAAAAAAGGAAAAAGTAAGGTTATGAGGGTAACAAAAAGATTAGGTGATGAAAATTAATAACAATTGGAGGGAAGTAGGAGGGGGTGAACGATTTAATTTTGGGGGGTGGGCTGTCAGCAATGGGGCTATGAAAAATGAGGTGAAACAAAATTGATGAGGGGGAAAAAAAGGAGTGGGCCTTAGGAGTCTGTGGAGACAAAGAACTTTGTCCTGGAGGGAAAAAGGGGAAAAGAAAAAGTATATTTTTACCAACCTCTATAGGGGGTGAAGCTTGATGAATGTTTTGCAGCAGAGAAGGCTGGGGCAGTGGGATTCATGTCTGAGGGGAATGTGTGGTGTAAATAATGCAAAATTCGAGTTTTTTAAGTTAGGGGGAGGGCGGGGGTTTCCAAAAAATGTGTCCAAGGGGTGAGGGAAGGGGTTTTTTAGGGGTTCGGGCATGTAGAGAATGAGCAAACAGAAGACTTCAAGAGTGATCATCTGTATGGAAGGGAAGGGGGGGTAGGGGTCGCCTAGGGAAGGGGTTTGGGGGAGGGGGGAAAGGAGTTTTTTGGCGAGGGCTTGGGCTTCCGCAGGCATGCGGGGGGGGGTGTTTGATAGGATAATGGAGACAAATGGTTTTAATCTTACGGCTGTTGAGTTGAGCAAATAAAATTTATAAGGATTAGGAAACCGCAGGCCGGGCTTAGTCCTGAATGGGAAGTACATGCCTCACTCTGAAAAGGAGGGGTGTTTAAAGTTCAGTTTTAAAAAATGTAGGTAAACACCCTTCTGGCAAGACATGATGGGGGAATGATGGTAAAGTTTTTTTTTTTCGGGCCACCCTGCCCGGGGGGGTCGGCCGGGGTATAATAAAAAAAAAAAAAATAATAATAATATATATAAATTTTATAATTTATATAAAAAAAATTTTATATATATATAAAATAATATATATAATATTATGCAGATGTTTTCCGCAGTTTTTAAATTGACCTAAAACGTCGAAAAAAAAACCTTCTTAAATTCTCTTTTTATTTTCCAAAGTAGGATATTTTGTGTAGTTATGGCGTATGTCTCTTTGAAGATGCTATAATATTATGGCCCTTGTAAAGGTGAAATAAATAATTCAGTGTTTTAAATAAAACGAGACATGTTGAAGCCTTGAGTTTGTGATGATTCTGAGGTGCTATCACTGTCAGGGACAAGGTGTCAGTGACAGTATCAGTGACAGGTGTCAGTGACAGGTGTCAGTGACAATGTCAGTGACAGGTGTCTGTGAACAGGTGTCAATAACAAGTGTCAGTGACAGTGTCAGTGGACAGGTGTGTGGACAGGGTGTCAGTGACAGGTGTCAGTGACCGGTTCATGACAGGTGTCAGTGAACAGGTGTCCCTCATGGTCAGTGTCTGTGACAGTGTCTGACAGGTGTAATGACAGTGTCAGTCAGTGACAGTTTCAGTGACAGGTGTCTTTGAAATGTTTCAGTGACAGGTGTCAGTGGACGGTGTGACAGTGTCCATTACAGGTGTCAGGACAGGGCGCAGAGTCAGGTGTCAGTGACAGGTTCAGTGAACAGGTTGCCGTGACCAGGTGTCAGTGACAGGTGTCAGTGACAGTTGTCCAATGACAGGGTCAGTGACAGATTTTTCAGTGACAGTGATCTGTGAAATGTGTCAGTGACAGGTGTCAGTGACAGGTGTAGTGGAAAAAAAAAAACCCCCAAAGGTTTTTGTTTCACCCCAAGACAGGTTCTCATGACAGTGTCAGAGACAGTGTCATGACAGTGTCAGTGACCAGTGTCAGTGAACAGGTGTCAGTGACAGGTGGTCAGTGAACAGTTGTCAGTGACCAGGTTTCCAGTTGACAGTTCTGTGAAATGTTCAGTGACAGTGTCAGTGACAGTGTATGTACTGGTGTCATGACAGGTGTCAGTGACAGTGTCCAAGACAGTTCATGACAGTTGTCAGGTGACAGGTGTCAGTGACAGGTGTCTGTGAACAGTGTCAGTGGACAAGGTGTCAGTGACAGGTGTCATTGGCAGTGTCAGTACAGTTCTGTGACAGGTGTCAGTGACAGGTGTCTAGTGACAGGTGTATGTACAGTGTCAGTGGCAGGTGTCAGTACAGGTGTCAGAGACAGTCCTGTGACAGTTCGTGACAGTGTGCGAGTGACAGAGTCCGGCTGAGTCAGGTGTCGTAACAGCTGGCAGTGGCAGGTTCATGACATGTCAATGACTGGAGTCAGTGACAGGTGTCCAGTGACAGTGGTGTCATGACAGGTGTCAGTGACATGGGTGACTGGACATATAGTCAGTTGACAGGTTGTCGTGACATTGTAAGTGACAGTGCAGTGACTAGGTGTCTGTGACAAGTTAGAGACAGCGTCAGTGACAGGTGTCAGCTGACAGGTGTCAGTGACAGGTGTCAGTGCACAATGTGTAAGTGACAGTTGTCATAGACAGGGTTCCTGTGGACAAGTGTCAGTGACAGCGTCAGTGCAGGGTTGTCATGACAGGTGTATGTAAAACAGGTGTCATTGACGGTGTCAGTGACAGTGTCAGAGACAGTTGTCTGTGACATGTTCAGTGACATGACAGTGACAGGTCAGTATCATGTGCAGTGAAAGGTGCATGACAGGAGACTGGAGAAATGTGTCATGACAGTGTACGTGACCAGGTGTCATGACAGTTCTGTGACAGGTGGCATTGACTGTGTCATGACAGTTAAGTGACAGGGAGAGCAGAGTGACAGGAGGTCAGTATCAATTGGCAGTGACAGTGTCAGTGGGACAGTGTCTGTGAAATGTGTCAGTGACAGTGTACGGACAGGGTCATCTGACAGGTGTCATGACAGTGTCAGTGACATGATGTCAGTGACATGTGTAAGTGACAGTGTCAGTGATCAGGTGTCATGACAGGTATCATAACATGTGTCCATGACAGGGTGTCAGGTTGCGCGCGTGTGAGCGAGCGCCGTGACAATGTACATCGCAGTGACAGGTGTCAGATGACAGTGTCAGTGACATGTGTAGTGACAGTGTTGTCAGTGACAGGTGCATGACAGGTATCAGTGGATATATGTCAGTGACAGTGTCAAAGTGACAGGTTCATGACAGGTGTCAGTGACAGTATCAATGACATATCCAGTGACAGTGTCATGACAGGTGTCAGTGACATGTGGTAAGTGACAGTGTCAGTGACTGAGTGAGTGTTAGTGACAGGTTGTCAGTTGACAGGTGGGTCATAGACATGTTCATGACAGGTGTCAGTGACAGGGTGTCTGTGAAATGTGTCAGTGACAGGTGTACGTGACCAGGTGTCACTGACATTGTCAGTGACATGTCAGTGACTGTGGTCAGTGACATGTGTAAGTGACAGGAGTTCAGTGACAGTGTCAGTGATAGCATGTATCAAGTATCATGTGTCGTGACAGTTGTCATGCAGTTCAATGTCATTACAGACATGGTCAGTGACAGGTGTCAGTGACATGTTAAGTACAGGTGTCATGACAGGTGTTTTTTGTTGGGACCCCCCCAAGTTGGGAACCCCCCCAGTATCGTGATATAGTCAGTGACGGTTCAGTGACAGGTGTCAGTGACATGTGTAAGTGACAGTGTCATGACCATGTGTCAGTGACAGTGTCAGGATCATGTGTAAGGACAGGTGGTCATGACAGGTGTCAGTGACAGGTAACAGTGATATATGTCAGTGACAGGTGTCATGACAGGTGTCATTGACAGGTTGTCTGTGACAGGTGTCTGTGACAGTGTCAGTGACAGGGTGTCAGTGGCAGGTGTCAGTACAGGGTGTCAGTGACAGGTATGTACAGTGATGTGACTAGGTGTTGGTGACTGCGGTGTTCATGGCCGGTGTCAGTGACAGAGTCAGAGACAGTTGTCAGTGACAGTGTCAGTGACAGGTGTCGTGACAGGTGTCCAGTGACAGGTGTCATGACATGCAGTATCACTTCAGTGGCAGGTGTCCAATGACATGTGTCAGTGACAGGTGGTCCAGGTACAGGTGTCAGTTGACAGGTATGACGTGACATTTTTCATGACAGGTGTCAGTGACATGTGTAAGTGACAGATTCAGTGATATAGGCCAGTATCAGGTGTCAGTGATAGGTGTCATGTGACAATCGTCATGACAGGTTCAGTGACATGTGTAAGTGACAGTGTCCCTGTGACAAGTGTCAGTGACAGGCGTCAGTGACAGGTGTCAGCTGACAGGTGTCAGTGACAGGTGTCAGTATCATGTGTCAGTGACAGGTGTCAGTGACAGGTGTCTGTCAAGTGTCAGTGACAGGTGTCAGTGACAGTGTCAGTGGACATGAGTAGTAACAGGTGTCATTGACGGGTGTCAGTGACAGGTGTCAGAGACAGTTGTCAGTGACAGGTGTCAGTGACAGGTGTCAGTGACAGGTGTCAGTGACAGGTGTCAGTATCATGTGTCAGTGACAGGTGTCAGTGACAGGTGTCTGTGAAATGTGTCAGTGACAGGTGTACGTGACAGGTGTCACTGACAGGTGTCAGTGACAGGTGTCAATGACATGTGTCATTGACATGTGTAAGAGACAGTGTCAGTGAACAGGTGTCAGTGACAGTGTCAGTATCATGTGGTCCAGTGACAGGTGTCAGTGACAGGTGTCTGTGAAATGTGTCAGTGACAGGTGTACGTGACAGGTGTCACTGACAGGTGTCAGTGACAGGTGTCAGTGACAGGTGTCAGTGACATGTGTAAGTGACAGGTGTCAGTGACAGGTGTCAGTGACAGTGTCCAGTATCATGTTCAGTGACAGGGTGTCAGGACAGTGTCTGTGAATGTGTCAGTGACAGGTGTAACGTGACCAGGTGTCACTGACAGGTGTTCAGTGACAGGTGTCATGACAGGTGTCAGTGACATTGTAAGTGACAGGTGTCAGTGACAGGGTGTCCAGTGACAGGGTGTCAGTATCATGTTCAGTGACAGGCGTCAGTGACAGGTGTCAGCTGACAGGTGTCAGTGACAGGTGTCAGTGACATGTGTAAGTGACAGGTGTCAGTGCCAGGTGTCTGTGACAAGTGTCAGTGACAGGCGTCAGTGACAGGTGTCAGTGACAGGTGTATGTAACAGGTGTCATTGACGGGTGTCAGTGACAGGTGTCAGAGACAGTTGTCAGTGACAGGTGTTAGTGACAGGTGTCAGTGACAGGTGTCAGTGACAGGTGTCAGTATCATGTGTCAGTGACAGGTGTCAGTGACAGGTGTCTGTGAAATGTGTCAGTGACAGGTGTACGTGACAGGTGTCACTGACAGGTGTCAGTGACAGGTGTCAGTGACATGTGTCAGTGACATGTGTAAGTGACAGGTGTCAGTGACAGGTGTCAGTGACAGGTGTCTGTGACATGTGTCAGTGACAGGTGTACGTGACAGGTGTCTGTGGAAATGTGTCGTGAATAGGTGGTACGTGACAGGTGGTCAGTGACAGTATCATGACATGTATCAGTGACAGGTGTCAGTGACATGTGTAAGTGACAGGTGTCAGTGACAGGTGTCAGTGACAGGTGTCAGTATCATGTGTCAGTGACAGGTGTCAGTGACAGGTGTCAGTGACTGGTATCAGTGATATATGTCAGTGACAGGTGTCAGTGACAGGTGTCAGTGACAGGTGTCAGTGACAGGTATCAATGACATGTATCAGTGACAGGTGTCAGTGACAGGTGTCAGTGACATGTGTAAGTGACAGGTGTCAGTGACAGGTGTCAGTGACAGGTGTCAGTATCATGTGTCAGGACAGGTGTATCATGACAGGGTCAGTGACAGGTATCAGTGATATATTGTCAGTGACAGGTGTCAGGTGACAGGTGTCAGGTGACGGGGGATGGGGTGTAGTGACAGTATCAGAGTCAGGTGTCAAGGTGACAGGTGTCAGTGACAGGGTGTCCGGTGGATAGGTGTCGTGACAGTGTCAGTACTAGGGTTTTCAAGTGACATGTGTCAGTGACAGGTTGTCAGGTGACAGGTTTGTGACAGGTGTCAGTGACAGGTGTCAGTGACAGGTGTCAGGGACAGGTGTTTGTGACATGTGTCAGTGACATGTGTCAGTGACATGTGTCAGTGACAGGTTTCAATGACATGTGCCAGTAACAGATGTCAGTGACAGGTGTTATTCTAAGAGGTTGGGGGGGCAAACAGCTGTCATGAGCAATGTTGCTGTAAAGTGGCGATAAATGTTACAGGTGAGGATGCGTAGGGGTAGGTGACTTCAAGCAAGTGGCCCTGACGAGTGTCATGTGTAGATAAGTTGACTACATGCACGATGATGTTGACAGATGTTATCATCAAGACTTACTAGAGGTGAACAATGTGTTACCAGGAAGCAGGTGTCATTCACATGTTACAGTCATTGTAATACAAGTGTTACAGCTGCCATTAATGACTGTCACAACCGTCATTATCAAATAGTGTCAATAGTATGAACAATTATTCGCAGGTACGCTTTGCCGTGTCAATGATCATGATGCCAGTTTGCAGGAAGTTGCAGGTTACAGTGAAGACAGTGTTCTCGAGGAAGGCTATGGTGACAGCCTCTCCCTGCACGCCACTCACGGACACAGCCACGGAGGTTGAAGACAATGTGATCTCCGTGAGTCTGTGGGGTGAGACAGGCACCCACTTCTCCCTCTCACCCAGGATAAAGAGTTCTCCTAGATCTGTTTGCAAGGCCGGTGACGTGTACAGGAGACAGAAATTGAGGGATCCACCACAGGCCAAAAGATCGATGGTCTGGCCAGGGGACACATTTTGCGAATACGTAAGGTCTTCAGGGTAGTTACTGAACAAGAAAGTGTTGGTGGTAAAGGCATTCTCTAAATTCAGCTGGGAAGGTGTCATCTGCAGCGTCTTGTCGACTTCTGCGAGGAAAATTATTCCGAAAATATACTCCCCAATGATACTGTAACCTGTCCATACTTCACGATAATCTGAGGAGAAGAAGTACCCGTCAACTACCGTCAGGGGCTTCGTCGGGTGCAACAACCTTCCTTCTGCGTTGCAAGACTTCATAATGAGCTCAACATTGAGGTTGTGGGTTTCATCGCCCACGCCCACGGGTCCGCCACTAAGTGTCGAGACAGCGCTCTGCAGATGAGAGTTGAGTTCCACCGGCTCTGGGCACTTATTGTTGCAGTAGTCTGTGCGAGAGTGGTCGTCCGTCACGTAGCACCACGGGGCCACCTCATTGTCTGGGTTACGACACACAGCGCCGTGGATACCGTGGTCGCCAGCCCAGTCGACACAAGCTTGTCCGCTCTGAGTGACGTTTTGGTCACCTACGTACAAACTGCCGTTGAAAACGTAGCAGTCGTAGTTACACCTGGGCACGTTGCAGTACTCCCACTCCCACTCCTCCTCCGGTATATCTAATGGAGATGAAGAAAATTATTCACATTATTAACCTAGGGGCTTAGTAACCCAGCATAACCCAAGAAAGCCAGTGTGGCTTATTTTCACAGGGATCATTTGGGTCTTTATCCTTAGAATGAGATCCACAATTTACCTATTTACTGGTAGAGGTACCTACTTATTTTAAACATACGTGCCCAACATCTCCACCTGCCCCAGGATCAAACCTAGGTATTTCGGTTATGAGCCGAAGGTGTTATCACTTAGTCAGGAAACCACTCCGTCACTTGCACAAAATTAACACGAGATAAACATCAACAAGACATGAAAATATTGAAACAGATAATAGGTTTCTGCATTTTTTGTAACAAAGAAATTTGCTCACTCCAAACTCCATATTTCAAAACATTTTGTATTGTAACAGAAGCCATCACCAACAGACTGACTGGTCAGAGACAGGGTCGTGATTACCGGACGCATGAAATACAATATACAATATATATGGTCCAGTCTATTTGTGAGTTATTGCAGTCGCAATATTGTGACTTATTGTTCATGAATTTTAATATTTTATAGCGATTTTAGTTCAAGGAAATTTTTCGAATCTCACCAAAAGATGCCTTTGTGTAGCAGAAAGCACCGTCCCTGATGTTCTGAGGGTTCTTACACAGATTCTCACACAGGTCGCTGGTGTAGTAAAGGTCATCCCAACCGAAGTTCCTCCAGGGTACGCAAGGCTTGCCAGAGGCTGCCACAGATACCGAACATCATTCTTATTCTCCAGAAGAGACATTAATTAATGATTTTGTCTAACCTAAGCTAAACTACGTCTGTTAAAGGCTGCTTGAAATATGTAGGATCACTGCTGCACTCTCTAGAAGAAACATTATTCCTTCTGAACACAAACTAACCTACTCTAATCTTTCCAGGGGCCGCCAAAGGTATGTAGATCTTCAGATATCTCTGGCAGCGTTTATAAAGGTTGCTGGAATATCTAGTCCTTCTTTAACTGTTTACACGATACTCTAATTACTATTGTTTCATCTAAAGATTTTTATACTTTATGGTTGGCTAGTTTTTGGTAAGGTATAAGTTAATTTCAATAAATGAACTAATCCTTCCAGAATTCGTTTGTTATTCAAACTGGAGAAGAAACCAGACGACGTTACTTGACTGTAACATCGCCTGTTTTTGTCTCGAAGTTTTGGGATAGTTGTGAATTATTATAGCCACGATACTGTGACAGAATAAATGTCGTCATACCAGTAATGTTGACTCTGCCTCCATACTGATATATGAATTTCCCCGGGTGTTCCTCGTCCGGCAGCACATATTCACAATCACTGTAGATATTGTTCACGTTCTCCCGCGAAGACCAGAATACGTCTTTGAAGGGCCGAAGACCCAGGGCGTGAGCTAGCAGGGACGACACCCCGATGCGCCACTGATTCTGTTTGAAAAAAAAAAAGAAAAAGACGGCCTTTCAGATGGTTGGGATGGGGGCAAAATTCTAGTCAGTGTTATTTTGACGGAAAACGTTAAAAATCGGGAAAATTGAACTAGCGGTGTTTCTGAAAGGACAACTCGTCTGTATTAATAACATTATTATATTCATAGAAAAATACTAAATTCGCAAGGGTGATACAGCGCATGGAGAATGGAAGGGCGGGTAGTAAATAAATTTTACCAATGGGGAAGGTAGCTGCAGTTTCCAGGCCCAAGTGTTCTTCACTGGCGTCAAGTCAAGGGAGATGCGTCTGTAGCAGACAGTTTTGCGAATATATTTTTTTCACCGTCTAAACAATGAAAATATCAAGACATTGACTTTGAGTTATTGCTATGACAGTGAGCACATGTCACAAGGAAAATGTGAAGAAGCTTGAAGACAAAGATATAAGTTGCAGAACAAGATTTTGTTGAGTCACCTTTTCGCGCAATGTAGAGCTTTGATAAACCTCTATAAAACTTCAGTAAAAGCTTAATCTGCAACGTGTGTTTGTCTTCATACTTATCGACAATAAACCATTTCATACAAGTGAAAAAGTTATCAGGCAAACTGAACACAACAGAAAATGTGAGACCTGACAATCTATTACCAAAGATGGTGACACAAGGTTCAGACGAAGTGTGTGTTCTGCTGCAGAGTAACTGAAAATAATAGGAAAGAGGGCAGCTACCGGAAAGCTCTCAATTAAACAATGAACGTCGTACAGATCTTCAAGCAGGAAGACAGGTAGGTAGCTCTAACCTACATGTTAGTATCCTTGACCTGTATACCCACCAAAATACTGAAGATAATAATCAGGATAATAACATGAAACCTACACCGGGATAGATTCATAACAACAACCAAGACTTGAGGGACGGGAAATCTTGTGTAGCTAACCTACTGGAGTATTGTGTTAATTCCATACTATTTATAGTATGGTGTTTAACACCATACTGTAAATAGGTAGTCTCTCACTCACCCCATCCCCTCCCTACACACACAAGCATCTTTGCATACTTCGAGGTAAACTAATGCAAGAATTCTCTCAGAAACTAGATAAAAAGCTAAACATTTCTTGCACCTCTTCATTACCGTCCATGGGATGGGTTGAGCCCTAACATGCTTCATCACTGACGAGGGACCAATACGAAAATATTTCTGCTCTTGTTACAAACACTGAAGATGGGACATCATAAACATATCTCTGCTCCTGTAACTATAATCACGGAAGGCAGGACACCATGAGTATAACATCTCTGCTCTCGTAGCTACGAACACTGAAGACAGGACATTACAAGCATAACAGCTCTGTTCTTGCAGCTACAAACACTGAAGACAGGACACCATGAGTATAACAACAGCTCTGCTCTCGTAGCTACAAACACTGAAGACAGGACACCATGAGTATAACAACAGCTCTGCTCTCGTAGCTACAAACACTGAAGACAGGACACCACGAGCATAACAGCTCTGCTCTTGCAACTACAAACTCAACACCCACATTTACATACAACTATCTCTCCAGTCAGTCACCTACCGGGTAGTAGAAGTAGTCACCGCTGACCCTAATCTGTGTAACGGCGGGGAGGGTGGCGGAATGGAGGAGGTGACGTGGAAAAGACATACAATACTGGATGTTGAGACTTCTTTCCTCAGCAGCCTTGCCCATGTTGTCGAGCCAGGTAGCTCCCAGTGTCAAGTTGGTGTGCAGGGCGCTGGTGGGTACATCACAGCCGTTAAATTACAATTTCGTGTGTAGATAAAGATACTTATGCACAGTTCAAGATATTTATTGAGGAAGTGTTTCACCACGAGTGACTTATTCAGAAAAAGCCTCTTATGGCAAAACGTTTACTCAACATTTTCAACAGTGCATTTGTGTCTATAGACTGTCAGTATCACAATATATGTTCTCCAATTGTGATAACTTCATGAGGCTGGTGAAGGGCTCTTGATCTGAGAAACTGGAGTTACCCCTTTCCTTTTGAGTGGTGACGTGTACTTAGCTCAGTGGTGACGTGTACTTAGCTTTGAGTGGTGACGTGTACTTAGCTCTGTGAAGACCTGTTTGTGTGCTCTCTGTGAATCTGAACCAGGATGCCCTCTCTTGAGCAGCTTTACCAGCAGCTGAGAGAAGAACTCAGAGTTGCTAAACTGGAGATACGGCGATTAACGGAGGAGAACAAGAGGATTCGTAGTAATCCTCCTGTTGTGAGTCCCCAGGTTAAGAGGGGAGCTTGGTCAGTGGTCGGGCAACATGGAACCAAGCTGAAGATTAAGAAAACGGTTGGAGAGGCAGAAACAACGAGAAACCAGAAGACTGCCGTGGAAACTTCCAACTCATTCTCGGTGCTACCTGACGAATGTGAGTGTTCTACTGGGAATGCCACAACGAGCACCAAGGAAGCATTGGCAGACGTGAGTGAGACATCCCTAGAAACCCCAACGAAGACCATCGAGAACGTCATGACGAATTCTACAAGTGGTGTAATGCTACCTGGCGAATGTGAGTCGACTACTCGGAGCATCACTACGGACGACGCCAAGGAAGGTAAAAACATTGTTGTTGTTGTTGGGGATAGCCAGATTAGGTACATGGATAGGGCATTCTGTTTGAAGGATAGGAGTAGGAGGCAGAGGGTGTGTTTTCCTGGGGCAGGGATGAAGGATATTGTTAGCCGTCTGGATGACATCATGAGAGGTAATGGGAGCAATCCTATTATCTGTCTCAGTGCTGGAGGCAACGATGTTGGCAGACGTAGGAGTGAGGACCTGATTAGCAGGTATAGGTCAGCAATAGAGATAATTGGGAAAAAGGGTGGGAAACCCGTTTATTGTGCATTTTTCCAGGAGAGGGTTGGAAATGAAGGTTGTCCAAGGGATTGGTGTCAATTGCTGGTGGACAAATGCTGTAAGGAAAATGCGTAAAAATTCATTGGGCAATGGGACCTCTTTATGGCGAAATGACATTTTTTGCCGGGATGGGGTTATTGTCTAGGTGTGGGGGGGGAGCACTGGCCAACGAGTGGAGGGAGTGTTAGGGCTTTTTAATAGGAATAGTTAGTGGATGGGTTTTGGCGGGGAAAAATGTGAAATCGCGGGAGTAACATGGTTTGGAGAACTAGTAATAGGCAAAAAAAGGGGTATGGAAAGCCAGTGGCACTAATTGACAATGACAGTAAAAGGTTTTTGGGGAAAAACAGAAAGGAGCAGGAAGGGTAAAAAAGATAGGGGGTCTTTTAATTTTTTTATTACCCCAAATAGTCGCAGTGCTAGGAAAAAGAGGGGAGAGTTGAGACTAGTTGCAAAAAATGCGGTAACATAGATGAAATTTGCCTTTTCTGAACGGGGTTTTAAATTTCAAAAAGTGGGACTTGCCGGGGCGGGAAATGTCACTTTTGGGGTTTTTAAATTTTTTCCAAGTAGATAGAAGTATCGGGGAAGGGGGGTGGTGGGGCTTTGTTTTCCGGGGATCGTTAAACTTTTCCCATAAAAACGGGTTTTTAAATCTGATAACACAAAAGGGAGTCTTTTTGGATAAAAATTTCAGAGGGGCATGAAAAATTAAATTTTTAGGTGTGATATCCCTTCCCCCAAATTTAGATAGGGACCAGGGGGAGTTATTTTGGGGGGAAAATTGTTAGGGCCCAAAAAGGCCGATAATGTAGTAAACTCTAGGAGTTTTTCCCTTTAGTCATTATTAAATTTTCCCCTTAATTTGTGTTGAGGGGGAAATTTTAGAATCTTTTCGATTTTTTTTAGAAGTGGGTTCGGATTGTTTTTTTGAAGCAGTTTGTGAAAAAACCCAAAAGGGGAAATTTAACCTGCGGGGCCCTTAGTTCTGGCAAAAAAGAACCCCTTGTTAAAAATTTTGGGAAAGTTTCAGAGGAACTGGGTGTAAAAAACCACAAATCAATTAATTTTGAATTGAATGGAATTTTTTTTAGTAGGGATAACTCAGAAAAAGGGGTCCCAGATTTTCGCCTTAGCAAAATTACGTTGGGGCTTAGAGAAAAACTTTTTCATCTTTTGGACTGGGGTTAACGAAGAGAGCTATCAATATGACATTTTTCTAAACCCCAAAATTACATGCTCCCTCAAAAAACCTTTTAATCCCTTAAAAGGGAAAAATTAGTAAAATTTAAAAATGCCCCCAAAAATGGATAATTTATAGGAAAAAAAATTTTAAATTACGGGCATAAGAAAGGAATTTATAGGCTTTCCAAAAGAGGCGAGGGGTCATCTTAGAATCGGGTTTTATTGACATTAAGGGGGGACTTTAAAAAGGGGGGATAAGAAAAGCAAAAAGGGGGGACTATGAAATTAAAGTTGCTAGGGATTTTTAAAAAAAAAAAAAAAACCCAAAAAGTTTTTTCCGGGTTTAAAATAGAAAAAAGTCAGAGATAAGATGGGTCCCCTTAAAAATAACTTTGGGCTTTTCTGACGGAATTGGGGGGGAAATGTGCTCGTTTTTTAAAAATAATTTTTTTTCTCTCGGTTTTTACACAGGAAGAAATTTAATAATTTTCCCCGGAAATTTTAAATTTTTAAAAGTGGATCGGGAAGATAAATTTTGAAAAATCACGGGCACTAGGGGAAAGGTTTTTGAAGAAAGTAGCCCGACGGGAAGCAAAATTTAAGCCCCCCCCCCCCCGGGGTCCTGTTGGGTTTTTTAAAGGGTTTTCTTAAGGAATGTAAAAGGAAGTCTGTAAACCCAATTAACAAATTATTTTTTAAATTTATCTTTCCCAAACAGGTGCAGTGTTATAGGGGAAAAGGATGGTTTAATTTTTTTTAAAAATTTTTTAAAACGGGGACAAGTTTTTTTACCTTTAAAATTTACCCCCCCAATAAGGACCTCAATTGTAGGAAAAATTTACTAGGGGCAATTTTAGTTGAGATTAAAAGAAGCCATCTCGAAAGCATAGCTTGATTATTGTTTTACTCAGCAGGGGATTCAAAGAGGACCGGTCTTGTCTAATTTAATTTTTTTAACTTTCTTCAGTAAAGCTTTTAAAGGCGTTGACCCACGATAAAGAATTTGTTATTATTTTACTTAGTTTTTAGTAAGGCTTTTGTTAAAATTTTCCGCACCAAAAAATGTTGAAAAAAGTAGCGTCATGGCTTTGGGGGGGAAGGGTGTCCCCCTTTTGGATCGAATCAGGGCCCCACAGCGGGGAAAGCAAAAAAGTGTCCAAAATGGGGTTAAATCGGTGGGGAACAGTAAAAAATTTTGGCTTTTCCACAGGGATGGGGGTTTTGGGGCCCGTTTTTTGTTTAAAATTATTTTAATCAATGTTTTGATAAAGGGAAATTTAAATAGTGATTTGAGCAAAATTCCCCGGATGACACGAAGATGGGTAGGTTAATTGGATTAAAACTTTAGATGTTGGGGAATTCAGGGGGATTTAGAAAAAACTCTATCTTGGTCAAAAAAGTGGCAGGATGCGTTCAATGTAGAAAAAGGCAAGGTTTGAAGCTCGGGGTGTCAAAACCCCTTCCCCACTTTTAAGTTAAAAAAATTGTAAAAACTTAACCTTTCTGATTGCAAAAAAGGATTTGGGGGGGTTATGGTAAGAAAAAAACCTTTAAAACCAAAGGGAAAAACAATGCCTAAGGGGACGTTTTTAAGGCAAATAGATTTTTGGGTTTTTATCAAAAAGTGTAAGCAACAGAAGGGTCCAGGGGGTCTTTACTGAGTTTTTATACTTCTTTAGTAAGGCCTCACCTAGATTATGCGCTAAATTTTCTGGTCTCCATATTACAGAATGGACAAAAATTTTCGTTAAAAAACCTTTTCAGCTTTAGGTTGCCCCAAAATTTTAAAATTCATTAGAAATCTTCCTTATGAAAAAAAGATTGAAGACCCCTTAAAGGTTACTTTTTTTTTTTTCCAACTTTTGGAGACGAAGAATGGGGGGTGGACCTGTTCGAAGTGTATAAGTGGAAGATAGGTTTTAAATTTAAGGGGATATTAAAAGGTTTTGGGGAAATCTTTTCCAAAGAGAAAAACCCCCAGTAATGGATTTAAATTAGATAAGTTTAGTTTTAAAAAAGGAAATTTGGAAAGTATTGGTTTGGAAAAAGGGTATTGATGAGTGGAAAAAAGTCTACTAGTTTGGGTTATTGGGCAGGACTTTGGGTTTTGTTTCCCAAAAATTTGGGGTTTGGGTTAAAAAAAATTTTGGGGGGATGGGGGTTTGGGTTTTAGTGGGACTTGAATCGGCTTAGGGTTTTTTGGGTAGCACTTTAAAAAAAGGGGAAAGGGGGAAAAGTTTGTTTGTTGGGGAAAGGGAAATTTTTAAAGGACCTGCCCGTATGGGGGAAACCCGGGGCCCGCTGCCCGTGTTTTCCCCTTTTTTATGTTCTTATGTTTTTTTTTTTTCAGAAAATTTTAAAATTTTTTTTCAAATATCTAGGTGAAAGAACGATACTTTTTCAATAGAACATTTGAGGGGGGGTGGCCAGTGATTTAAAAAATAGAATTTTTATTTTTTTTTTTAGTAAAGCTTCGATAGGGTAAAAACACAAAAGGGTCTTAAGAAAAGGGGGCAGCTCCATAGTATTGGGGTAAAGTTTTTTTTTTTGGAAAAGAGGAATGGGCTTACCAAAAGAAAGCAGGAAACGTTCCTTTTAAAGGGGGGGAAAAACTGAAAAGGGGATTAGTCACTTGTTTGGGTTCCACCCAAAGGAAACAGGTTTTGGGCCCTCTTTC